TAATTAATCTATTATTTTTGCAAGTATCATGTGACAGTATGCCATTTGCCGTTTTACTTGTTGCTAGCATATGTGCAGGAGTTTTTCTCTCTTTTTTTTGTGATGACTGACAGCTCGTCTTTTTTTCCTCTTTGTTCTGTCAGTTTTGTCAACGGTTTAAAAGTTCTAAAACCTCTATTTGATCATTCGACATATAAAGGAGTTGGTTTTTGGAGGCAGTATTTCATTTCCTTTTTACACTCTGTACAATTCTCTTTCAGTGCCCTATTGTTTTGTCATTCACTGTCCATAGTTAAAATAACGCACCTGACAAGCAATCCAACCGCTCGGACCAAATTAGACATCATTTCTCACAGAGACAAAAAAGCCTGTCTTTCTAGGCTCAAAATGTCCTCTTCATTTGAAGTTTCCGATGATTTGGTCAGTGTGTTTTTAATCCTATGGCCCATGACTAAAGTATTTCCACACCTAAAAAGCACAAAAGTTTTTGCTTGAAGACTGCTCTCATATAGAAACCGTCTAACAAAGGAAAACATTGTATATGTAAAACAGCTTTCTGTCAAAAATGTTTTCTGCATTAACCTCCTGTCATTGTAAACAAACAAAGTTCTTTTATTTATTACTTTCCACAACAATCAGAACGTTGTGGCAGCATTTAAGCAGTAACCAGCTATCAAATCTGCCTCCTAATACTTTAAGTGCAAATATATACAACACATAAGACTCGTTTCGTTCCTGCGACAAACAACATGACTGCACTCAGTTTCATGTAGCGTATCTTCTCAAAAGGACAAAGAACTTGGAGGTCATAATGAAGGGTATGTGCAGTGGTTGATTTGAAAAATTAGTAATTGTGCAAGCATCTCTCCAGCTACTGGCTGTTTTAATGAGTAAATATTAACAGTAATGGCATGCAATTTCCCGTGGTGGTGCTCACCTTGCTCTTGGTTATTCACTCTAGTGACACTGGCTTTGTTTAGCTGAGGCTGTGCCTTACATCACCTTGGTAACCATAATCATAAAAGCCCCCCTAAGTGCGAAGGAGAAAATTAGAGTCCAAGCTTTAATAAGGGGTCTTATGATAAACCAATGTTCTAAGGGATAAAAGGAGAGGATATTTTTTCCTCTCTCTCTCTCTCTGCAGATATGAACATCATTTCAATGGTATTGCGAGAAATTCAATAACTGTCCATTAGTGAGATCCAAGGATAGCTCAAATTTGATTGGAAAAGAAAATAATGAAGTCTGTTGATTGTTTTCTCTCCCTCATGCTCGCTCTCTCTGGTTTTAGCCATTGCAATATACAATATACTCTGTTCCTCTTGTAAATAGTTTTATGCCTAATTTTAATTCAAAAGAAGATGATTTCCTTTATCAATACACCTGCAGAGAAGAAGAGAGTAATTTGGCAGAACTGGGGGGAAATGCTGGTGGTAGGGGATATCGGTGATCACCGTCATACTCGATAAGGTGAGGAAATTAGAGATTTTTTTTTATGCTGACGTTCTCTGGTGGAGATCTATATGCCAACGCACCAACTAAATATCAGTGGAAAATGGCATTGGCTCTATTATGTATTTAAAGGTGTTTTAAGGATTTTTGGTTACTAAATACCATTGCTGTCAGCGCCCATACATTCTTACTTTAATTGTCTTTCCAACTAGTCTCCAGCTGAAGAGACTCTCATTTGGTGGTGCAGGTGTATGTCCATGTGTGCAGAGCTCCTCTGAAAACCATCACTGTCACTGTTTTGATATTTTCCAAAGGTCAACAGCCTACCGATACAGAGCTGTGCAATGACAGCAAAGGTTAATTGAAATGAAAAAATTATTTTTGGTTACTAAATACCATTGCTGTCAGCGCCCATACATTCTTACTTTAATTGTCTTTCCAACTAGTCTCCAGCTGAAGAGACTCTCATTTGGTGGTGCAGGTGTATGTCCATGTGTGCAGAGCTCCTCTGAAAACCATCACTGTCACCCATGTGATGTATTCACAAACTTTATTCTCTCTGTGGCATTAAGAACGAGCCACACAGTGTGAGGCCAACTGCTCGCCAAGAAAGGAGAGGAGCGAAAGGAGGGAGAGGAGAGCAAAGTTTACCTTCCACTTCAGTAGCTCTGTAAAGAGCTGAAGATGAAAGGTGCTATTTGGTTAGTGGGACAAACTGAACTCTGATTCTACAATGAATAGAGCTCTTCATGGCCCCGCATACAGCTCTACACTTGTCTTAATGGGACAATTGTATTTCTCCTATCACATAAAATGTGCAGGTATTGGATACAACTCACACAGAATAAATAGATTTAACCACAAACCATGTAATGTAAAGTTCAGATAATGGTAAGCCTAAGAATTCTAGGTAGAGATGTGCTATATGCAGCGACGCTAAATTAACTATATTTGGATGTTTTTTATGCTTATATCAATAACAAACTTCTTTAACCAGTGAGCAGCAATGTAGCACGACCAAACAGTATTAAAGTGCTGTTTTTAAAGTAGTTCACCTCAAAAATTAGCATTTTCTGATAACTGACTCATCCTCGGGCCATCCAATGTGTAGATGAGTGTTTCTTCATCAGAACAGATTTGAAAACAATTAGTAAATCTATCATTAAAATGTTTTAACTTGAAACCACTGCTTCCAGCTAAAATATGAGTCCTCTGCATATTGCTTTCTCCAGTAAAAAAAGATCATCTTATGATTTGTCTAATTATGAATCATCTAATATTCACAGATCAAACACCGTTCACAAGTGAAAACAGTGCAAACAAGTCTAAACAAATATATCTGTGGATTTTGGTGTTAGAGGACATCAGGGTATGGCTTTTTTCAGTGTTATTATTGATTATGGACTCGTATTTTGGCCAGAAGTGATGGTTTAAGGTTAAAACGTATTAATGATGGATTTGTTTCTTACAAATATGCAGGTTTTCACGTCACAAGATGTTAATTGATGGACTGGAGTCGTGTGGATTATTTGTGGATTATTGTGTTTTTATCAGCTGTTTAGACTCCCATTCTGACGGCACCCATTCACTGCAGAGAGAGGATACAGTGTTGAGAAAGTGATGTGATGCTAAATTTCTCCAGATCAGTTCAGAAACAAAACACAAACTCAATTACATCTTGGATGGCCTAAGCAAATCAGCAAATCTTAATTTTTGAGTCAACTATTCCTTTAATGTCTAAGCTGAAGTAATGATCAAGCCCGCTCTCCTAAATGGTTTTCGTTTCGTTCTGACAGTTCAAGTAATGAACATTTGTGAAAATTATTCATTGATTTGACTCCCTGCACTATATTTCATAACCTGGTTATGTAAATTAGAATGTTTTTCTTTTTTGCTGCATTTAGTGTACTCTTTAGTGTCTATCTGTCTATGCAGGTATATAGAGAGTTTTGCTTTCTATTTACATTAAATTTTTTTCACCACACGTCACGAATACTTTGCCTTCCTGACATCGGTCTTAGCATAAAGACTCTAATTAGAAAGTCACATGAAGTGAGACACTGTGTTTCCAGCTTTAAGCACTGTCACATGGCTCAAAAATAGCTGCTGTTTGCTCAGTGTGACTGGGGGGAGTTTACCTGTATTTCAGCATATCAAACACCTTTTCAAACTGCTGCTTTGACAAGTTCCTTGGCTGTCGCCCTGGCTGAAGTGACCGTGGCAGTAGCTGTGTATACAACAGGATTCTTCGGTTAGTAAATATTTGTCTCACTGCATATTTAAAATTGAGACTCAGATTCTAGAAGACTATAAAAAAAAGTTTTTTTGTTTTTTTTAAGTAAGAATACTAATTGCTGCTCGGATACTAAGAATATGTACATGAATGTAAACACACACTTAATTGTATGACATGCTTATGTACTCTACAAACATCTCTATATGTCCTTACCTGGGTCTGTAACACCCTTAAACCTGAAGCAAATCCTACCTGACAATTCATATAATATCTGGCATCAAACAACATGTGACATGTCATGCATTTACTGCCTGTTTACAAATATACCAATGGCTAAGGTTGCCTTGCTCAGTGTTGTTTACAACAGAGATCCAACAGTATTAATCTCTGCTCACTGAAAGGAATCTGAACAGACAGCTTGCATGGAAGACAGCATAAACAAACCTACAGTGGCCTCATGCTTTTACAATAAGTCCTGAGGACAAAAGCTGTCAGACACTATCTGCTGACCCAGTCCTCGTCTTTAAGACCTATGTGCCAAAATCACTAGATATTTGTATGTTTTATGACCCAAAACATACTTGTGTTTAGAGCTGGGTTTTTTTGTAGCCATTACTCCAGTCTTCAGTGTCACATGATCCTTCAGAAATTATTTTAATATGCTGATTTGGTGCTTAAGAAGCATTTCTTATTATCCATGTTGAAAACAGCTGTGCTGCTTAATATTTTAGACTCCCATTCTGACGGCACCCATTCACTGCAGAGAGAGGATACAGTGTTGAGAAAGTGATGTGATGCTAAATTTCTCCAGATCAGTTCAGAAACAAAACACAAACTCAATTACATCTTGGATGGCCTAAGCAAATCAGCAAATCTTAATTTTTGAGTCAACTATTCCTTTAATGTCTAAGCTGAAGTAATGATCAAGCCCGCTCTCCTAAATGGTTTTCGTTTCGTTCTGACAGTTCAAGTAATGAACATTTGTGAAAATTATTCATTGATTTGACTCCCTGCACTATATTTCATAACCTGGTTATGTAAATTAGAATGTTTTTCTTTTTTGCTGCATTTAGTGTACTCTTTAGTGTCTATCTGTCTATGCAGGTATATAGAGAGTTTTGCTTTCTATTTACATTAAATTTTTTTCACCACACGTCACGAATACTTTGCCTTCCTGACATCGGTCTTAGCATAAAGACTCTAATTAGAAAGTCACATGAAGTGAGACACTGTGTTTCCAGCTTTAAGCACTGTCACATGGCTCAAAAATAGCTGCTGTTTGCTCAGTGTGACTGGGGGGAGTTTACCTGTATTTCAGCATATCAAACACCTTTTCAAACTGCTGCTTTGACAAGTTCCTTGGCTGTCGCCCTGGCTGAAGTGACCGTGGCAGTAGCTGTGTATACAACAGGATTCTTCGGTTAGTAAATATTTGTCTCACTGCATATTTAAAATTGAGACTCAGATTCTAGAAGACTATAAAAAAAAGTTTTTTTGTTTTTTTTAAGTAAGAATACTAATTGCTGCTCGGATACTAAGAATATGTACATGAATGTAAACACACACTTAATTGTATGACATGCTTATGTACTCTACAAACATCTCTATATGTCCTTACCTGGGTCTGTAACACCCTTAAACCTGAAGCAAATCCTACCTGACAATTCATATAATATCTGGCATCAAACAACATGTGACATGTCATGCATTTACTGCCTGTTTACAAATATACCAATGGCTAAGGTTGCCTTGCTCAGTGTTGTTTACAACAGAGATCCAACAGTATTAATCTCTGCTCACTGAAAGGAATCTGAACAGACAGCTTGCATGGAAGACAGCATAAACAAACCTACAGTGGCCTCATGCTTTTACAATAAGTCCTGAGGACAAAAGCTGTCAGACACTATCTGCTGACCCAGTCCTCGTCTTTAAGACCTATGTGCCAAAATCACTAGATATTTGTATGTTTTATGACCCAAAACATACTTGTGTTTAGAGCTGGGTTTTTTTGTAGCCATTACTCCAGTCTTCAGTGTCACATGATCCTTCAGAAATTATTTTAATATGCTGATTTGGTGCTTAAGAAGCATTTCTTATTATCCATGTTGAAAACAGCTGTGCTGCTTAATATTTGTGCGTAAACCATATTTTTTTCAGTAGTCTTTGATGAATAGTAAGTAAAAAACAACAACAAATAATATTTCATTGAAATATTTTGTAACATTATGAATATGTTTGCTGTCACTTTTAATCAGAGCAAAATATTAATTTTAATATTTAAAAAAAAATTCTACTTTGTGAACCCTGGTAGCGCTTTAGTTGCTTTTCCTCAATTCTAACAGCACAAAAGAAACAAACAGCTTGAAATTTCAGGACTCTCATAATCTATGTAGACATGTGAAATGATTGCGACTGGTTAACTGCCATTTTCAATATTTCACTGTCTCTTTGTCTTTGGGGTTTTAGCCAATCAGGAACAATCATAGCTCATCAATGTAGTGCTTCAGAGAGACTGACCAGTGATTACACTTACAAGACAAGTGTGTGTGCTGTGCATGAGTGTGTGTGTAAGATGTAATGCTTGTGTGTCTGTGATATCATTTCATATAAACATGTCCAGGATATAAATAAGACTAAACGGGAGAATTAAACATTTTATGCTATTTTCTCTTCTCACTGTATTGATATTTTGAGCATGATCCACATTTGGTGCATTCTTCATAATTAAACTTGTTGCATATTACTTTTTTTTGATCAGTTCCTCATTTGACCTAATCTCTTTTTTTCTGTAGGCAGCAACTACATACCCATTCTTGTGAATGGTTTGGATTTGTAAGATAGCCACAATCCAAACATAAAATAAGTATAGAATCAATCCGCCCCTCTTAGCACCTTGGCTAAAATAAACAGTCCTGGGAGAATAGCTGAAACATATCCGCAGTCACTGAAGCGCAGAATTAGGTGTGCACAAGCAACAGTAACAAGCCAGAAAGGTTTATTTTGAAGGTGAAGCCTACTTATTCCTTCTCAGCTCCATTATCACATATGAATATTGTCCCTACTAATAAGTTCAGTGAAAAACATTACTGAGCCAAATACAAAAGCCTCCACCTAACATACATGTGTCAGTTTAGTCTTTAGTAGTTTAAACCATTCCTGCTCACACCAGGGTTGTGTGACAATTTCAATCAAAATTTCTATTTAATCCCTGAATTTAAATAGTAATGTATGCAACAAAAAAAGATGCAGAATTACAATTCAAATTTAAAAGGAAGTAGAATTAAAATGAACTATAATTCTAAATAAATTTTAAATGTTAGTTTGACACATCCAGTAAAAAGTTTTAAAAGCCTTGAAGTTGAAAGGCTTATAGGCCTTACAGACAGAATGATAATATAGATAGATAGATAGATAGATAGATAGATAGATAGATAGAACAACACTGAGGTGTCAAAGCGGCACTCGTCGTTTCTCTTTTAACCGTTCGACCAACTGCTACATGGCCTTTTGCAGTTATTTGTGTTTGTGTTTCACACCTTTCTGCAACTGCATTTTGGAACAAACAGGTATTTACGGTTCATATTAACCCGACGTGCACCACAGTGTTTGTACCCTGGGAAAGGCCCATCTCCCCGAGGGCTTGCTAGGCCAATCTGGTGGTGTTGTTTCTAACCCTGGGAATCCTTGTCCACATTGTGCACACAGTGAGAAAGGTAATCCGGACGGATGGTCTCCATGAATCACCGCCACATTAAGAGTTTCAGCCCTCTCATTATCCTGCACCACATTTCCCCCAGGGGGCCGGTACTGTGCCTGAGCCTCACCACATACAGCCGCTCATTACCAATCTGCCAACAGAGGCCCGGCTCGGCCAGAGTCCCTGGTCTTGCACAGGTAAGGGGCCTGGTTCCTTTCTCCACCTCCATACAACATCCACAGACACAAGGGTGAACAGAAACAGCATGCCTTTCAAAGGAGCTGCAGGTGTCACCATCCCAGAATCCACCAGCAGAACCCCTCCCCTCACATTTGCTGTCAAGAAACACAGAGGCTGATGGGAGAGCCTGAAATAATGGTGCGGTAAGTGTTTGACTCTCTCGTATGTATTCCCTCATGAGAATTTATATTCCCACAATTTTGAGATACTGATATTGGTGGGAGAGTTTGGGTTAAACGGCACTCTACCAATTAGGCTTTTTTTTCCCAAGGATGTTTCCCAAGGCAAGGATGACAGTCATAGCATAGCCAAATGTAATGTCTTTTATAAAAGCCTCTTCCTGCAAAAAGGAAGCATATTTGCTTTTTAATTTGTGCCTAACGTTCCACAGTGTTTTTTGGAGTTTGTATTCAAATGTAGTAACAAAGTTTGAAACTAGCCTCAACTGTAATTAAGGAGCAGAAACGAAACATTTTATTTATTTATTTATTTTAGGAATTAGCAAATGGTTCACAAGGTAATTTTGCTCAAATCAGTGGCAGATTGAAGGAGGGCTGCAGGACCTGCTTGCTTTTGCTTTTTATTAGCTTTACTTGGAATGTACACTTCCTCTTATTACTGGCTAAAGGCTAAAATACAGATGTGTCTTATCAAACTATACTGAGATTTCTGCCTTTTTTTATAAAGTAGACATATATTCACAAGAAGAGGAAGCTGGCAATAACGATTATGTGTGATTATGTTATAAACACTTCTATAGTTATAGTATGTGTTCATTATAAACAATGCAAACAGAATATCAAGAATCAGATTAGGTGATCAGTCCACACCCCAAATCCCAAATAAACAGTGGATGTTGTACAATATAAAAAAATGTAAAGCTAAGACATAAATTCAACCTCCACTTGTAAAAACAGTACTTATATAGGCTTTATATTCTGTGTTCCCCACAGATTCAGCAGAGATGCATTTGAGATGCTTGGGAGTCATGTTTGTTTCCAAACACATGGCATTGTTCGGGTAAAATTCGATATCGGAGTACCAGCTGAGTAAATGCGTGGGTTTTGCAGCTGCCGCTAATCCAATGTCTTCTGTTTCAAAGCCGAGTTTACCTGCACGGTCACCGCTCATTGTCTTCAGCAGCCTCTACTCATACTTTATCACGTCACCTGACAAGAAGGCATGCTTGACTTTCCCAGGCCCTCACTGATCCAATCCAACACTCCCTTGAGTGCAGTTTATAAAGTTAATTTAAGCTCCCTCACTTATGTCTGCTCTGCACTGGACAGAAGACAACATTTAAGATAAATTAAATATTCAGGACTAAGGCTACATGATTAGGCCTTAAAAAGGTAAAAAAAAATTTTTTTTAAAAAGGCCTGAATTTTTTCACATTTTTTTCAATCAATTACAATAAATAAATAAATAAATACCTTTGGTAGTGTATCACAGTTTCCACAAAAATATGAGGCAGCATTTTTTAAACACTGATAACAAGAAATATTTCTTGAGCACCAAATCAGCATATTAGCATAATTTTTGAAGGATTATGTGACACTGAAAACTGGAGTAATGGCTGCTGAAAATTCTGCTTTGCCATCACAGGAATAAAGCACTTTTTTAAATATAGTAAAACAGAGAACATTTTAAATTTGATTAATAATTGACAATAGTTCTATTTTTACTTATCTTAATATCTTAAGTATTCCAAACTGGACAATAGTGTACAGTATATATATTATATATTGTATATACAACAAAAAACATGGGATTTGTATCTCTAATGCCATTCTAAATCCTTTTAAATTTGTGGCAAGCACTACACGTATGGATTGAGGATTTTGCTCACATCAGCCAAACCTCTCTAAGAGAAGGATAACTCCGAGTTAGCTCATGACAATCTCTCATCAGGTTATTATCCCATTAATTTCCGCGAATAAGCCATCTGATGAAGAAGTCATGCTACTGTTAAACACTCACTTCTCAGGGTCTAGTGGTCTCAGGGGATCTGACCTCCACAGAGTGGACTGTTGATGTGTTTGAGCCAGCTGCTTACATTTTACATGAATTTCATGCTTTCTTAAGCTATTACGTATATAACATGTAATTTTGATGTTGAAGAGTTAATGAACAGCTTTAAATCCAATGACCTAAAAATATACAATGTGAATTTTCATAGAGAATGTGAAACAACATTCTTACAAATTTACCTTTAATGTGCACAATTAAGCAGCATGCATGACATTTGTTTTTCTAAATTTAGCCTAATATAAAATTTTTAATCCACACGACTCCAGTCCATCAATTAACATCTTGTGACGTGAAAACCTGCATATTTGTAAGAAACAAATCCATCATTAATACATTTTAACCTTAAACCATCACTTCTGGCCAAAATACGAGTCCATAATCAATAATAACACTGCCATACCCTGATGTCCTCTAACACCAAATTTAAT